GAATTGTAGCATTTCATTACGGATTGGAGAAGGTTGAGGCCGGAACTTCCTCACAAACAACCCGGAGAAAAGCGAATAAAATGAAATAGAAAAAAAATATTAAAAAAGAACGTCCGGACATTGAAAAAAACGCTTTCTTCATTTCTTAGGAATTAAAAACTGTTTGAAAAGTTGTCACACCGTTTAGCTAGCTCAACTCAACGGTGCAAGTGCGACATGGCCCCCGGGAAGGCCCGCGGCCGATGTATGGCCCAAGTACTGGTGGTTAAAAAAAAAAAAAAGAAAAAAAAAGCGTAGATACATCATGTACTAAAAGCCTTGTTCTGGTTTGACTTGATGATTTGCAGGGTGTTCCCAGCGGAGGCTTGTGATGAGCTTGGCGGCGAATTTTGTAACGTAGAGGGGGTTGGTGAGGAGGTTAACCCTCAGACGTCGGCGTCGGCGGCGCCAGCGGCGGCTGAGCAGCAGCCACAGGCTGGACCGGCAGGGATCTTTGCCAGCATTTTTGGGAAGGGTGCGGCTGAAAACCCTGATAGGGAGTACATGGAGTATGACTCCCCCAAAACGTAAGTTGACAGTTCGAATCCCGTATTCCTCGTTCAAATCCCGAATTTCTGATTTAAAATGAATTGAAATGGCACATAGAACGAAGTAGAACAGATGTGCACCCGAATTCATGGGTTGGTACAATCTCCGTCACGTAAGTCTTCATAGTGATGTACCGTGGCAATAAAATGTGTCCAGGGACACATCGAGGAGGATGAACAAGTAATGGGTATGGGGATACATTCATCACCATGTATCTCATGATGCCTCTAGCAGGCCATCCACCACAATATTTGAATTTCACATTTCAAGTTCAATTTCTCAGAGCCAAAAAAAAAAAAAAAACAAAACCTCCAAACCCCCCCCCCCCCCCCCCCCCCCTTTCTCGAGTCCATAAAATCCATACTTCCCACCCACGCAAAGCCACGTGCTATCATGTTCAAATTTGTTTTTTTTTTTGTTTTTCGACGCATCTCATTGGACGTAAGGTGGGCATCTTTACAGTCCCCACTCGGAAACCACCAAGCCGTCCAGATCCGATGTATTCGAAGGCTGTAGTGGGTCACTCGAGGCCACACGTGATCGAAATCCTGAACGGAGTGGTAGAATACTTCGCTAATGGGTCCAGGCCCCCGGGGTGAGGTCCCACTAGCAAAAGAGGATTGGATTGAACGCCTGAATCTGGACGCGTTTGTGGAAAGGTGGACAAAATCGAGATTGAACTGCTTTCCTGCATTTGTGCTGAAAACACGTCCAGATTCAGGCGCTCCATCCAATCCTCTTTGCTAGTGGGACCTCGCCCCAGGGGATGACACGCATTTGAAGTAAAAACAAAACCTTGTTGCGAACCCCGCTGCCTCCCCGTCTCCATTGGGAATTGGATATCTTTTTTTTTTTTTTTTTTTTGACAAAAACTCCTATCTGAACCAATTGGATATCATTGGGCCGCAGTTCTGCTTTTTTCAAATCCCACCGGGCCTAATTGGATATAGTGTTAATTGCAAAAATATTGCTTTTTCCAAGTTTGGCAGCAAAAATGTTGTCGGTTCGAAGTTTCCTTTGCAAAAATAGAGGTTTCGTTGCAACTTTACCGGGAACCCGTAGTTTGCCAGCAAAAATGTGGCGTTCTGCCAAGTTTCACAGCAAGAGACCCGTAGGCCTCTGGCCTCAGGTACTCAGCCACTCAGCGTTCGGGCCTCAGGCCACGCCCGAGATGCATCGGCCACAGCGGAAATTTAAAAGAAAACAAAAGCACCTCTACGCGTGGCTGTGCCACGGCCAC